GGGGGAGTGACCCCTTTGGTGGTTTTCTCGGTCGTCCGCGAGGGAGGGACCCCTTTGGTGGTTTTCTCGGTCGTCCGCGGGGGAGGGACCCCTTTGGTGATTCGTTTCCGGGTGGGCGGGGTTTTCTTGGGGATTCGTTTCTTGGTCTTCGGCGGGGGAGCGACCTTTTTGGTGGTTAGTTGCTCGACCGGCGGCGGGGGAGTGACCTTTTTGGTGGTTAGTTGCTGGACCGGCGGCGGGGGAGTGACCTTTTTGGTGGTTAGTTGCTGGACCGGTGGCTGGGAATGATACACCACTGGCTGGGCTGGCTGGGGAGGATACGTCGCTGGCGGCCAAGCGGGTTGGGGAGGATACGTCGCTGGCGGCCAAGCGGGTTGGGGAGGATACGCCGCCGGCGGCCAAGCGGGCCGGGGAGGATACGCCGCTTGCGGCCAAGCGGGCTGGGCAGGAGGGCACGGGTCGTACGGGGAAGGAGGGCAGCAGGGTGGGTCGTCCTCCCACACAATCTCGTAGGAGTCAGAAATCCAGCTCTCGCCGTAGCGCTTAAGGCGAATGTGTTCGACGTGATCTTGATCTGGGATGTCGTCTTCATAATCGAACCGTACGACTGACTTATCTTTGCCAAAGGTCTTTCCTTCTTCATCGTTCATCACTGCGGTCTGTAGCACCGCGGGATCGTACTTTTGAGTGTGCCTGTCGTGATCGACCTCTGGTACGGTGTTGTTCTTGGTGGAGTTTAGCGCCGAGGAGGAGTTGTTCTCGAAGATGATTATTTGTGACGGCATGATCGTGTGGGGCACGGTGGTGTTCGGCGTGACCATGTCGGGCATGGTGGTGTTCGGCATGCTTGTGTTCGTCACGATCATGTTCGGCATGTTTGTGTTCGGCATGATCGTGGTTTCTAGGGTCTTGGGCAAAACCCCCTCTGTCTCCACATTCAGCCAAGGCGTATACTTATACCACAGACCCGCCAGGGCTAATCCTATACTAAGCGCCAGGACCGTCTTGGGCCGTTCGCGAACGACCCGGCTACTGGCGCAAATAGCGTTCCTTAGCGTTTCAATGAAGCTTATTACAGGAGGCTTATCATCTTGAACACAAGCCAAATCTATAGACACACTATCTTCCTCAGAACACGGATCATATACAGTAAAGCGATAGTAACGCTTCCTTTTTACCTTGTGAGATCCAACCTCGTTAGCCACTTCTAATAACTCCTCCTTCCTGTCACCTGCCAGTTGCATTGTAAGCTTCTTCTTTAGCTCATCATTCACACTCCTTACTGGTATATTCGAAACTATTTGATTCGATACCAGTTGAACAAACTCCCTTAACACTCGAGGATCAATCGACTGATTCACAATTGAACCAGGCGTCAACTCCATCTTGTTCGGCTCACGAAACCAATTGTACTCCTGCCTGATTACCTCCTTCCTCCCAGACTCCGGAAGGCAGGGCTCATCGGCAGCAGTTTCCTCGGTACTACCTTGATTGGCAGCATCATAAACTTCCCTCTGAGAATAAACTTCCCTCTCCACAGCGTCCTCGGTCTTCAGGGCTTCATACTTAAACGACTCACCCAAGAAGAGTCCCAGTACCCGGGTTCCAGTCCCCGATTCACCACCGCACTCCTTTCTAGGCACGGCCACCGTCACTTCGATGGGTGATCTACAGTTATTGTTTATCTCTTCCAGTGTTCCAAACTCAACGCGGACCCTCTTAAACTCGCAACCCTCCGTACCAGACAAACGCCCGTGAGCATCGACGAAAGCAGCCAATAATACTTCGAATTCGTCACTCAACCCCTGCGCACGGCTACACCTCATATTTAACTGCCACCAAAGAAAAAAGAAATCACCACGACACAACAACATATGGCTGGCTGGTCAGTCGACAACCTGGTCGTGTGGTGCATTGTGCGATGCATGACCTGCATCGGTTCGCTCATCAGGTGGCTCTTCACCTGGCTCTTCGACTGCCTCTTTCCTGCCTCACTTTTTCGCAACAGCAACCAGAAGAAGGAAGAAGATGCATGTTTGCTCGGCAGTGAGCATTCCGAGACCCGTTCCGAAAGGTCGGGTATGGGTAACATTCTTTCCGGAGCAAAGTGGATACAACCACGCCACACTCAACCACGGACTACGGAACCCCATAGTGGTGCTGAACCCTGTGGTGCTGAACCCTGTGGGACTGAACCCTGTGGTGCTGAACCCTGTGGGACTGAACCCTGTGGGACTGAACCCTGTGGGGCTCAACATACTGAATTGAGCGCAGGTCCAGAGTTGACCATTGCAGCCGTACTGGGCACTGAAGGAAACACAAAAACCGAATCGACGATGGCGACGGAAGGGAATTGTGGACCTCCTTTGTCGTTACCCTGGAACTTGTTGGATGACGCGGGTCCGGAAGGATATCCCGAAGGCAGTCCAACAAATGACGAGGTAGCGATAGCCCTAGAGAAGTCATTCCTGGAGGAGGGGTGGCCGGGGTCAATACAGAAGGAGGGGTGGCCGGTGTCAATACAGGAGGAGGGGTGGTCGGGGTCAATACAGAAGGAGGAGTGGCCAGAGTCAGCACAGGAAGAGGGGTGGCCGAGTTCAGCACAGGAGGAGGGGTGGTCAGAGTCAGCACAGAAGGAGGGGTGGCCGGGGTCAATACAGAAGCACGGGTGGTCGGGGTCAATACAGAAGCACGGGTGGTCGGAGGCGAAGCAGAGTGCGGCTCACGCAGGGGCGGAGTGCTGTGTGTCGGTCGGTGATGAGTGGAATGTGCAGTCAACTCGCTGGTTCAATTCTCGGCGTGACATCTTTGACTTTCTCAGCGGTCATTTTATGGCTAAAAAAAGAAATGAAGAAAAGTCAGCGGCGCAAACGGAGGACTACCGCGGCACTGGAGTCTGAAGACGAAGAGGAGGAGGCCGGGAAGCGGGGTGTACCCCTGGACCTATACTTGCTGATAGCGGAAGACATGAACGACCAGTTCAAGTAAGCCCCCCCGCCCTCCCTGAAGTGGGCTCAATGAAGAGGGGAACGTAAGTTCTTTAGGTCAATCGCGGTAGCGGACTTGCTGGGTCCCAGTTGCTCTAGTGGACGTGGTTTCGACTTTTGCACCGGCTGCTGCAATCTCGCCTGCAGCCTCTGCCCGCACTGCCGGGATGCACCCCTCTGTTCGAGCCGATCCTGTTACAGTCATCACACACAAATTTGCGCCACTCAGTAGCCGAGCTCCTCCTTCTCGTTTCCATACTGGGCGTACAATCCCGGGCAACCGGTAGTCCCAACTAGAATAGTCCCAACTAGAATAGTCCCAACTAGCAATGAAACCAACCCGTGTGAGAGACCAGTTTACGGAAACTGGTTGGGCGTGGTCTCGACAGCAAACCCGAACGCAGACGAACCTGCTATGAGTCACGGGCCTGACGGCTTGGTCTAATGTCGACATGAATGTGTCCGTAAGACTACTGCTCTCGTTGAGAGCAGTTTCCTGTGCTGCGATACAGTACGCTTGTGCGAATCCTTTTTTCCTCGGTGTTGATGGTGGCACACGAGTGGGTGTCAAAAAAATGATCTAGATCGCGAGAGGACCAAGACGGTCAGCGGTCGACTGGACATATTTGTGGGCAAGAGCTAGCACCTTCATGCGAGTCGTACGCCACCACGTCATCTTCAGATTTTATTTGCAACAGCATGAAAATGTAGTTCCGGATTCCAGACATCAATGAGGTCTCGTTCACAACCATAGCTACGATGTTATCGCCACACACTTTCACGGTCGTCATGCATTTGTCCGATATCGTTTGGCCGGATGCGCAGCCCAATTCCTTTAAGTAGTTCTCGAATAGAACTAAGCGCCGCTCACATTCAAAGGGCCAGTCTTTCATAGGCCGGTAAAAGAGTTGAATATTATCGGCACCACAAACTGTGTTGGGAGGTGTTAACTGGGCTCCAACAGCAGTAACCAACTCCGCCAAAAGCAACCCCATGATTACCTGGAGGGGTCCAGAGAACGACCGGCTGAGTTGCGACCGGCTGAGTTGCGACCGGCTGAGTTGCGACCAGCTGAGTTGCGACCGGCTGAGTTGCGACCGGCTGAGTTGCGACCAGCTTAGTCCCGACGACATGAGTCGGGACGACGCAGGGTGCTGGTCACCCGCATGAAGCGCCCAAGTCTTCGCGACGAGGCGCTAATTTAGTACACGGAACTCAGTTCCCGTCGCGCAACCCTCAGAAAGGTTCTCCCTCCGGTTCTGAGCCTTCACCAAAGCTTCTTTAGCCATCTTCGCCGATGGGCGGCCACACCCCGAGAACAGAACGTCGGCGATCCGTCTCAGAACATTGTTGGCCTGCCTATTCGATACGCTCTTCGCGACCATCTGCTTCTTAGCTTTTGATAACACAGATGCGCCGAAACTCACCGATTTGTTGTAAGATCCGGATACGATTCGAATAGCGTTCACATCGTTCAAGAGGTCAAGGTTGCCGAGGTCAAGGTTGCCGAGGTCAAGGTTGTCGAGATCAAGGCTCTCCGTCGAAGCGAGGCAGGGCACAGCAATATTCACCTTGATTCAGCCCTGGTGCTTCCGGTGTCCGTTGTGAGCTGGCAGGATTTGCGCCTCCACTGCACAGCAATCATCCGTGCTGGATTCGACGATGTGACCATCTTGCAAGGCAAAGAGAGCAGCTGTGAGCACCCGAGTAGCCAATTGCGGTCATCGTGGCGAGCTCTTAGCCCCTTTCGGCATCTTCTTTAGTTCCCGAAAAAGCTAACGGTCTGCCAAGACTAAGCCACGACAAAACATACCCCCTTGCTCGCGGCCTCTAACACCCGGCCTCCCGCCGCGGGCAAGCGAGTGAGATGCTGGTTGAATAATGGCTCGTGGTGATGGTGAGCTCTTGAAGATGACACCCGGGTGGTTACCAGAAGAACAGAGCAGTAGTAGGAGACTTTATCTGGGTATTTGAATGGAGCCGTGCTAGGAGGGGTCTGTGACTGGCCCGTGGTTCGAGATGACGACTGCTCTATGGTTTTGAAGTAATAACCGACGGCAGACGAGGGGCCCACGATCGCCACAGGTACGTCGGGACAGTAAGTGTCCGGTGAATAGAAGATGTACGGCGGCAGGGGACTGGACCCGAGATGTTGTATACACGCGCTGATGGCACTACAGTGGCCTGCGGCTGGCTGAAGAACTACGCCGACCCGGAGACTGGACACCAGCTGTGGTAAGCACGCGTTGATGACCCGAGACTGGCCGGTGGTTGACGGAAGAATGAAGTGCTAACTGACGAGTGGCATGTGGTTAGCGAGAGTACGCGCGGACGGCACCCGAGTGGCCCACGGTTAACAGCCGAACTAGGAGGGCATGCGGCTGGCCCGTGGTTAGCAGCCGGACTAGGAGGGCATGCTACTGGCCCACGGCTGTGAAGGGTTTGGGATGACGAGACACCACTGATCTACGATTGGTTGAAGTATCAAGAGACCGCAGATGAGAGGCCGACGGGTGATGAACTATTTGTTCACCCAGAAAGAGCAGTGCATGTTTCCCTCCAGTGGTGAAGCCCCTCTTTAGTTCGGTTCGGCGACTCCCCGCCCCCTCGCGGCAGTCCCGCCGGCGTCGGCCCCCAACTCCTGACCACGGCCCTGCCGACAGCCGGTGGTTGTGCGCGCGGACAAGACGAAGCTCTTAGACTGTCCCCGCCTACACACGGAGTACCTCTAGGACGACTGCTCCAATTGACACCCGCGGACAGCAGGGCACACGCTATCAACGTCCCGATGGAGGCGCCGGCCAGGCCGCCGCTGCCCTCACGGAGTCACCGACAGCAAAAGGCGCAGACCACGAACCAGGAGATAGTCGCAAGTACCTTGGTCGAGCCAGGCCCGCTGGCCGCTACACTGCGTAGTACGATGGGTGCGTGACGAATGGTCCACTGGGAGGACGGGCTACCTAAAGGGCCGTGCTAGTAGTGAGGGTGGTCTTAGTCATCGGACCCTCTCCTCTCGTCTACGAGGATGGGGGTGAGTCTGCTGAGGTGGGAGGGTCTTTGGGGAGGGTGAACTGGACACCTCTTCAAGCCAATTTCGACGGCGTGCTCCCAGTTGCGGGATGTTTGGCTGCGTCGCAGAAGGTCGGACCTATCGTGAAAGATGACCTGGGGCTGAGTCTCAATGTCCGAGCTTCCAGTCGGAGAGGCTTCTGCTGGAGGTTCCTCAATTCCCAAAATGTTAATGCAGTGGAGGATGTGGTAAGGCGAGTGGTCGAAGAACAAGCTGGTGATTAGGCCAGCAGGGTCGCCCTGGCTGTCCTTAGGACTGCGTACGACCTCCGCACAGTCTTGAACGCCTGGTTTTTCCAGTAGCTGGTCACCCGCCGACAACAGCATGGATAAAACATAGGCGCGGTGGGAACCCTCGATTGTGGTTGAGTCACCGTAACATGACGCACTTCTGCCAACATGACCTCGTCGCAGTTCAGTAAGCGAGAAACCAAGGCGTTAGCAGAGGCCAAGCTGATCTGAGATCCTACGGAGCAGTCCCCATGATTTAACTTGGCCCGTGTTATGATTTAATGTTCACCTGGTGTTGGCTAATCCGGCGAATGTTAACATCATTCAAAAAAAGTTACCTGGCTGATCCCGATACAGTCTCCTAGTTGGTGAGGAAGCCGTAGAAGAACTCAGCGGTGTCATGACCCACAGTCACCTGGGCATTAGGGGCGAGGCTCTTAACGCTGCATCTGTCGACGCCAAGGCCGGTTCCAATTGGAGTTCCGGCCTCAGCCGTGGCCGTGGTTTGCTCGTCACGCTGTCTCATCAAAGGAGCTTGTACGTAGAAGTGAGTTCTAGGCAGGCACGGCCTGGTGGCCGGTGAGTACCCCTTCGTCGGACTGTACTCAGAAGACACACTTGTGTACGAACTCAAGTCACCCTTGCTGAGCAACCCAGCCTTCATTCTGATTTTACCAACACTGGTTGTACCAAACAGTCCTTCCCATGTAACGTAGCCGACATCCGGTCCATCACTCTTCGTGAAGCTAATCACATTCTCCGTGCCTACAACTAACGGAACGGAAGTTAGTTCGCAAACTGCGCTGCCGCTATCCACCAGAGAGCAGTTCTCGGAAACAGGTTCGGCAGTGGAGTCATTTTCGATACTGAACTTGAATGTAGCCGAATCTCCTCCGTTAGATGTCAACGTAGTCTTCAGGTGACCGTCACCAAGGTAGAACGCCGAATTCGTTGATATCTCAACACCGACTGCCAACAACTCCACCGGTCTGATACTGAAGGTCATTGCGTCATACCCGTGAGTCTGTGACACTTTGTAAATAACTTGAGGCAACGCCAAAGCAATGCCACCCAGCAACAACGTACGACTCATCATCTTCCTGCTTAAGAGTTATATGTATAAGACAATTTTATGTATAGCACAGCCCCGCCAATAACTACCGGGATCCTGCCCGTCTCCTTTCCTACCGTATCACGATCAGCCGACCACGATCAGCCGACCACGATCAGCCGACTACGATCAGCCGACCACGATCAGCCGACTACGATCAGCCGACCACGATCAGCCGACCACGATCAGCTGATAGTCTGCAGGACGGAAAAACGCACTAGTCTCTTCTTGTGTCTTGCCGCTGTTCTTCTTCCTCATCAGTCAATTCCTGGCAATCCTGAAACTGCGTGTCACTTGGCTTCGGCTCCAACATCATCCCATTCCTGGCCCTGTGATTACGCGGGTCAAAGGTCTTTGCAAAACCGTGGACAAACGATTGATAAGTTTGTCGCCACTGAAGATACTGATCATAGATTTGGTCTCGGACCTTATCCACCCGTTCGTCAAAGGTGGTTCCCTGAAAGATAAAGTTGTGTGTACGACTAGCAGCACATAATATATAGAGCGGGTCGTGACAGCACCTGGGTCATGATAGCACCTGGGTCATGATAGCACCTGGTTCATGACAGACAGTGTTCGGTTCATGGCAGACAGTGTTGGGGTCATGGCAGACAGTGTTCGGGTCATGACAGACAGTGTTCGGGTCATGACAGACAGTGTTCGGGACATGACAGTGTGTTATTACAAGTGGTCGTTCTGTGAGAGTAACTTTGGTGAGATTCTCAGTAGCTTTTTTCTGCCAGTTTTGAACCTTCTTTTTCATTTGTATTTGATTCGCTTTGAGAGTACCAATATTCAATTCCTCAGGTCTGACACCGCGACTCAGACTTCGATAGATATAGTCCTCATAGTTTTGTAGGATACGTACGATAATGTCGGTGGTACTTGTACCTTCTGTTCTTTGTGTGGCCTTGAATTTGCCTGCCTTCTTGACCCAGTCATAGATGTCATCACTGTTAACGGACTCGTAGGGAATATCGTCGTGGGCAACGTAATCGATCGCGTGTTGTTCCAAAAACTCCGGCGTTAACAACCAAGGACAAGGCGCAATAATCTCATCAACCCACTTTATATGCTCCAACGTCTCCACACGCTCTTGCATAGTCTGTACTGTCCGCCCCTTATACTTGTGTGTGTCTTCATCTGAAGCAACCCCCACTATCAGTACCACATTCGGAAAACATTTCTTTGCCTGTTCCAACTGCCGCATATGACCCACATGTAATAAATCATACACTCCATCCGCGTAGACCCGAACTGGACGATTTGTAGGTGCCGGATTGGTCACATAACTCGCCATATTTTTATTACCGAAATTAACACGCTAACTAGTCCACTCGACTCAGCCAGTGCACTCGACTCAGCCAGTGCACCCGACTCAGCCAGTGCACTCGACTCAGCCAGTGCACCCGACTCCACCCGACGCGGCCCCGCAGTGCACGGTGCTTCACAACACAAGTTACTTCGAACGAAGTTGACTGCCCTGGAGGGTTGACTAACCAGCTTTTGGAGAGTTCACTAGCCAACCCCTGAGGGCTTAACTAATCCCTGAGGGCTTAACTAATCCCTAATAAGACCCAGATCTAATAAGTCCCGTCGACCCATCGCCGACAGGAGCACGCCCAACTCGTGGCGGGTGCCGCGTAGTCGTGGCATCATGCCACATAGTCGTGACGTCATGCCACATAGTCGTGACGTCATGCCACATAGTCGTGACGGAGGCTATTGCGTAATCTACACACGATTTTCTGTTTTTGTGAGCTTCATCATTCTTTGTTGTCGATGCCCTGGCCCGGATGAGAGATGCCCTAAGACCCCAAGAGATTGATGTACAGACCCAGACACTGCGTGCGACGCGGATATCGCGTCCGAGGAGACTCCGAGAAGACCCTTCCTTGGTCTACAGACCCTTCCTTGGTCTACAGACCCTTCCTTGGTCTACAGACCCTTCCTTGGTCTACAGACCCTTCCTTGGTCTGCTGTGTCTATGCTCTCGTCCCGAAACACTGTCTGATGCCGCGTCCACAAAGTCTTTGAACGGTCACCGGCCATTCCGTTGGCGATCCTACTGAGGTTGGGTATCGCAGTACTCCCCCCATGTTTGCGGACTGTCTTCCCAGATTTGTGAGTCGCAGTCTTGGCAGTACCAGTTAGACCGTTCCTTGGGCTGTGTCTCCACTTCAGTCCAGTCGTAGCAGCAGCAGCATTTAGTGATACCCTGGAACGTCAAAGATCCCGGCGGTTTGTACTCATACTTATTCAGCAGGTAGGTGAAACAGAGCGTCCACATGAGGGCCAACAGGGCCCAAGAAGACAAACGAATAATCCACTCGCGAGGTCCGCATTTGCACTCCGGGTTGATAGACTTTTGGAACCATCGCATAAGAGCGTGCCGTCGCACTTGACGCTTCATCACGCGCTCCTTAGCTGCAAGGAAACGTGGGGGAGAGGCGTGATGGGAGGGGTTCTGGGGGAGGGGTTCTGGGGGAGGGGTTCTGGGGGAGAGGCTTAGGGGGAGAGGCTTAGGAGAAGGGGCATAGGAATAAATTACGGAGGAAGGCAGCTGGCGTGGTGATGGTGCCGAAGCCGAAGAGGAGGCCGCCTAGGAGGCCGCCGAGATGTGCCCAGGTATCTGTAGACTTGGTGAGGCCGGTGGCGAGTGTGATGATAACGGTAAAGATGGAGAAGATGAGAATGCACATGGGTCTGGGAATGGAGTGCCAGTATTCGATGCAGTAGGGTACGACTCCGCCCATGAGGCCGAAAAGGCCTCCGGAGGAGCCGACGGTTGTTTTGCAGGGGTCCATAATCATGGAAAGTAGGTTACCGGAGATGCCAGCGAACCAGAAAATGAGGAGTGTGCGACAGACTCCCCAATCGGGTTCGAGCATGTAGAAGTACTGAAGTTGACAGAGGATATTAAGACCAATATGTAGCCAGCCACTGTGCATCCACATGGACCAGAACATACGGATCCATTCGCCACTCCGTACTGCATTTGCGTTGAGTCCGCCTAGTTCATAGAGCGTGGCCGCCCCCGCGCCTATGTTGCTGTTCTCAGACCGACTAGCATAGAAGGAGCCGGTGGTGAGACGGTTGGATACAAGGGATTGAACAAAGACCATGAACAACGCGGCGTTAACCCCGACAGTAACCATGAGGCGACCTCTTAGCGGGTTGCTGCGCAATGCCGGATCGCTCACTTTGTCGCTCCGACCCGTCTTGCCTCTGTTCAATAGCGGCGAGTGAAACGGGTTCGGCGGCGCGCGCCGACCCACCTTTCCTTCATCCGCATTCCGCCCCAAAGGCATCGTCACCGTCTTCTGGTCTAACTCATCGATTGGAGTCCGTCGCATCTCATACGCAGCGCGTAACGCCTCCAACTTCACATCAGGGTCCTCAGCCAACATCTCTTCATACTCCCGCTTCAGTAACGACGGCGGCAAAATCGCCGCACTGAACCGACCCACCGACGGAGCCACTTGCAACACCACCTGTCCCCCACCACGGGCAACCCCACTGCCAGCACCACTTTCAGCACTCACTGCAGCCGGAGGCCCATTGATTGACACCATGCCATAATTTTTGTCAACTCTCAACTCCCTATTAATCCCCACTCACCCTCCAGACCAACCACCCTCCAGACCGACCAACCTCCCTCCAGACCAACCACCAACCACCCTCCACTGGCTCGCCGATTCTGTGACCACTCGCTCGCCGATTCTGTGACCACTTGTTCGCCGATTCTGTGACCACTCGCTCGCCGATCCTGTGACCAACAGTGGACAGTGGGGCATTGGTTTTTAAGAACTCACGAGCGACACAGCTGAAGAGATCAATGATGCAAGAGTGCAGGAGTGCAGCCAAAAGATCTAGGTTGTCTGGGTTGAAAAACGCAAGATGGTGGCCTTTGTGAGAAACGCCGCAACGAGGTCAAGACTGCCCGGGTCAGAGGGAGGCAGTCTCGGCACAATTTTGGAGAGGATGGCATCCAGTATCAGGACAGCCTGGGTTCGGTAGAGTCCTGCGAAGGCCGCCTGTCTGGCCAGACCTGCGCCGTCAGGTGAGGCTGCGCGAGGGGAGGCTGCGTCGCCGTAGCTGAGAGGGTAAACTTCTTCGTTTACTTCGAGGGGCGAGGGGAGCCCGAGCAGGTCGCCCAGTCGACCGACTTCCTCGGCACCACCGTGCAGTAGAGCGACGCAGGACGCTTCGAACCGGCGACCTTCTTGGCTCATGGAGCGCCGCGTGAGCGGCAGCGTGCTGGCGGCGTACACCAGGGGACATTCGAGATTTTCTGTAGCGTGGATCATGTAGAGCGTTATCGGACCGGCGGCGCTGCTATCCGGGACCCAATGTACCTCTTCCTCTTCCTCTTCGTCTCCGACCAGAAGACCAACACCTCCTATCGGAGCCCCTCCAGTCAGAGCGCCTGTGCGATCAAAGTCCGCCACAAAGCTGGTGAGCAGCCGAAGGATGAGTGACCCGGCGAAGGTACGTCCGACGAAGCGTAAGCCGAGCATCACGAGTGTGACGCTGTTCCGCAAGTACTGCACCAGGTCGCGACGACTGGCGCGGTCCGCAGCACCGGGACCACAAAACGCGTCAGGGTCGTTCAGTAAGTAGCCGAGGACCAAGCTGCGCACAAGCGCCACGTACGTCTCGTGGCTCGAGCCCTTGAGCATGCTCGTTGCCAAGTCGAAGGACTCCCGCCGGCAGTCCAACTCGTCCTGCTTTACGTCCGGCAATGCATCCGAGACCGCCTCTCGACCCGCCTCCTGCCCCAGCTTCATCTTCGAGGCGCTCGTGTGCGAGCCGCTCTTGTGCTCTCTCGCGCTCCGCTGTGGTCCCACGCTCCGCTGTGGTGCGATGTACTGCCCAATCGACTGGCCAATCGCCTGTCCCAGCGACTGCCGGGATTGCTCCGTACTCGCTACGGCTGCCGACGGCGCCGCCAAGTCCGACGACATGCTTCGAGAAGCGTACTCCTGGCGTGCCAGACGCTCCTCCGGAAGCATCAGCACCAGAAATTGTCCAGACACCAACTGACTAGACTTCCGCAGCCAGGGCGACTGCCGGAATGAGGACGACTGCCGGCGCGAGGAGCACGGGGACTGGCCCAACGGCGAGTGACCACCTGACAGTTGATTGGACGGTAGCTGATTGGACGGTAGCTGATTGGACGGTAGCTGATTGGACGGCAGCTGATTAAACGGTAGCTGATTGGACGGTAGCTGATTGGACGGTAGCTGATTGGACGGCAGCTGGTTGGACGGCAGCTGGCCAAAGGTGTAGTTGCCGTAAACTCGGGCCGTGACGCCTTGGAACACTTTGATGTTGGCCAGAGGTTTGTCGTAGTGATATAACAGTCGCAGGCGGCTGCAGCGAGTCAAAAGGGCAGTCACCGGCACTGGCAGCCGGGTAAGGAAGCCTGTCCGACTCAACTGGTAGGCCAACCCACGTACAGAGTTACATTCTTCATTCACATAGCGGTCTCGCGCCGTCATGCCGCGATGTACCAAAGCTACTTGCTGGTCCGCGTTCACACGCAACAATGAACCCCTACTCGCCAATGCCGCTATCACCGACCGGTCGACGATACCCGTGCTACCCACAGTCTCGCTCTCTAGCACATTCAACTCATCCACCAAAACATATTTGCGACTTCGACCCATCCATAAAACCCTGTAAAAATCACAAGACGATTACGCCTTGCCTTGAAAACGCCTGTCGAGTTGGCCCTGACGGCGTAGCTTGGAGGGGTGGGTGGTCCTTGGGTCTATTGAGAAAAAAGGGTCATTCCGCTAGTGGGTCATTTGCTATGGTCATTATGCGCATAAAATCCTCGAAAGACACCCTGCCATCCCCATCTTGATCAGCTTCATAAATCATGCGCTGCAACTCATCGTCGGGAATAGGCTCCTTTAGCTCTTCGCATAGCTGCTTCAGATGACTAAGGGTCAAGAATCCTCCATCTCCTGCCAGAATGTCAAAGAGCTGTTGATAACTCTCTCTCGAATGTAATTTCGGCAACAGAGGCTCCGCCATGGCACAAAACGTCTCGAATGAAATGGGAGCGGAAATGTCTGTGATTCCAACACTTCTTAGACCTTCGCGAATCCTATCAGGCGTCAAATAACACCCTAACGCGCGCAAACCAGCTTTCAATTCCCGCGCATCAATGTAGCCGGTCTTTTCGACGTCAAATATGTCAAATAACTGCTTCAACTGGGCTCGCGAAATGCTACTACAATCCGTCAATTCCGGCTGTCCAACTTGTCTGTAGGACATTTGGAAAATTCGTTGGTCGTCGCCAGTATCAGTTCAATATCGTCGTAAATGGCGTTTATTTTCTTTCGCAACAGACTCCAGTTATCAGCGCTCACTTGTCTAAACATACATTGATTTTATACTAAGAAATCTCAACGACCTCTCCGAGGTTGTGTTTGAAGCTTTACATAGTCACTATTGAATTTATAACTTCAATTTTACGTGCCGCTACGTCTTTATGCACTTCCAATTCCTCGTCTACCCCAACAATTTCAGCTATGTGCTTGGCAAGTGTAGCGCTGTTCACGTCCAATGTCAATATGCTACAAATTAACCTTGTCTGAAAAATTGAATTCCTTACTGTTGTACCCTCATTATTTTGGGAAGAAATTCGGTTAAGTTAGATAGCTGTATATAGATCAATTCTCTGAACTTATTAGAAGGTAAACAAAGTGTGTGCGCGCGCTGACAAACACTTGTTCGAAAGTGCACCCCGCTATGCTTTCGTATCTTAGGTCGCTATATTGAAGAAACATAGGACGATTATATCAAAAGAATGCTCAATAAGGCTCAGGACGCTCAAAAAAGTGAGTGTCATCAAATGAATAACGGTGAGTAATTTACTGGTCATATACTGAATCTCGTTTAGACGAAAGTGATGAGAACAAATTCATGCAGATTAGCGAGAAGCCATGCGGGATTGCAGCTAACGTGGTTTATCAATCGCTGGACGAAATCAATTATTCGCTCGCGTGGTTTACGCATCACCGTAGGAGGGAGAGTATGTTCTATCCCTGGTATCCAACTTTGAGCGGAAACAGTTGGGAGAAACTCCGACTACAAGCAATCTCCAATTTTTGGCGGACGGTGGTTACCAATAGAATAAGCCCGATCACGGTTCACTTGGCAGTCTGGATAGTGAACAAGCTATTTTACATACGAAGAAGGTATCTAATGACAAGAGAATGGTTTGCGGGTATCGTGGCCGTAGGTCTCCGAATTGCGCTAAAGTTTGAAGAGCGGCCCGACTCACTTTGGGGAATTCGGAAGATTTGGGACGTGCTTCCTTTGTTCGACGATTGGCACTTGGATAAGCGAGACTTGTTTTTATTGCGAGTCGAGACCGAGGCTTTGCGATTGCTCGACGATTTGTTGGATGTTCCCCTGGCCGTACAATTCTTCGATAAGTACGCGTCAGTTGGTGGGTGGCCTCCAGAAATGGTGAAGGAATATACTTCCTTGGGCCACTTTATACTCGCTCTATCGTCTTTCGCATCTGGAGACAAGCACCCGCTTTGCAACATACCTCCATCGGAACTCGCGGCGGCTGCCGTAGTGCTGTCTGTCAAAATAGTGAACGGAGACTCGCGAATACCAAGTTACGAGTTCTTTCCAGAACGTTTTGCGGCATTCACCCAGTGCACTATGAAGCAGTTACAACCAGCCGTCCGAGGCCTCTCATCCTTATTACGGCGCAAGCCGGAAGAGGTAAGCAAAGATTCATTTCACCTCCCAAATGCATTGTCTGCGCAGGCTGACATTCTTGCCCGAGTGTACCCGGAATGGGGCGCTCATGAATGGCAATGAAGCATTTTTAGCTTCCCATTTGTCTTTGAAATTGCAACGGTAAGTCAAGTCGATGCTTTTCTTCGAATTATTAAACAACCTGAAATAAAGCTGATTATATGAACGATGAGCTGCTGCGTCAGCGTCGAAGGGAAGAAGAGGCTGTCCAGTCGGACTTGAAGGCGCCCATGGATGACTTGTCGTCGACGTCATCTGCAGACATAAAGGGTTCTCCGCGGCGGTGTGCGTGCAACCGATCGGAAGGTTGCTTCTGCGGTAATCATCGAATCCTGTCTCCCACGTTGGTTGCGATACCAGGCTTGATTTTTCTCTTGCTTCTGTTCTTAGCTCTATTTGCGGTGGGTGCGGCGATTGCTTTCTATTTGACCAACACCACCTTTGCGATTTTGGACAATGCGGCGGGTTCGGACACGGAGTCAACGTTGGCTATCGAAAATGATACGATCTTGGTGGACATCAAGGTGCCTTTGTTTACCTATGTCCCCTCGCTAGTTCCGATTCCGATCTCGAGCAAAGAAATGACAGTTTCCTTTTCTCCGATTTCGAACGGGAGTTCTCTGCGAGGCATGGAGCTCGGTGCGAACAAGATGCTGGCGCGCAACCACACCAAGGTATCATCTATAAAGGAAGAGCTGGGGGCTCCGCTGCGCTCTCGCCGAGAGCCCGACTTGTACCGGTCCAAGCGCGTCCTCAGTTCTTCCGTGTTCGACCACGTACTGTTATCGGAGCACAAGGCCACCCTGTTGGAGCATGGCCGGAAGTTGTCTGCGTCGCTGCCGCGGTTGCCGCTGGAGAAGCTGAACCAGTTGAAGGATTCCAAGGCGATCCGGGAGCCCGTGTTCGACATGCCCAAGACGCGGGGGACGAAGGGATGGTTGTCGATCGGACCCTCCCGCGCTCCTGCCTCGTGGCCGAGGACGGCGGACCTGACTGAAACCATGTTGACGGCGGACGGAGTCTCAATCCAGAAAATGAACGAGCGACAAGAGGCGGATTTCCTGACTGTCGAGTGGGAGGACTGGCAGGGACACCGACAGACGGCGCACTTGAGTTTGTCGGACGCGACTGGAAACCTCAAGACGAACACGCTCCAGGATGCGCGGATGACACCGCCGAAAGCATTACTAGGCTTCCTCAGTTTCTGGAGCGGAACCGTGGGTACGAGTCGTTTGGCCGAGACTACGTTGACAAAAAGGTTGGTGGACGAGATCAATGTTACAAAAAGGTCGAATGTAAGCGACCGGTCGACTGTGGACGACAGGCCGCGCGTAGGTAGCCGTTCCAGCTCGGGCATGCGGTCCAATGTGGAGGCAGCCGGTGCGGGTTTGAGTAGCCGCCGGCGAGTGTTGGAGTCCCGAGGGTCGCGGCCGCGATCGGTTCACATCCGCGTGGAAAGCGGCAAGGGATCGCGACTGTCGTGGTGGAGCGGTAGCATCTTGGCGACAGTGATGGAGTCTTGTGCGGAGGAGGCGCGTCAGGCGGCGGAGTTCTTGGCCAGCACACAGTTCGTGGACGACCTGGAGATCGGGAGTTCGTGCGGCGAGCGGTGGCTGTTGCACTTGTCCGATCCGGACCTGGTGGACGAGCAGAGTGCTGAGCAGCGCAGGCTGGACGGTGGGGCGGTGGCGCTGGGGGTAGCCAGTCACCTAGTGGACCTGAGTCACGTTTTCAGCCAGGACGACGGCTTCGACGTGTTCATCGACCCCTTTGTGACGCGCAACTTCTTATCGCGGGGGCTGGCGGACATTGGCAGCGTGATAGTGAAAGGCACGGTCCAAGACGCAGCAATTGCATCGGTAAGCACCGCTGGGTTCGGTTCACCAGTGCTTTTTTTAGTCTTTGTGGAACGACTGTGACAAGTGGAGCAGTACGAACGTGATAATCGAGTTCGCCGACGTGAGTGCGTGTCGTTGGTGCCGCAGAATTATGGCGGCGCACTCGTATTCGCACTCTGTTTTCATAGCCTGCAAAAAACCAGTGCCTGTCAATGGCGACGTATGACGTGGTGGTGACGCTGCATGGTGTGCATCAGTTGGTCTGGCCGGGTGAAGCGAGTGGTGCGGAGGTGGGTGTGGAGGAGGCGACAGTGTTCGCGCGTCTTGCGTACTCGGCGGTGGCGGCGGGCACGAGTACGTTGCCCAACCCGGTCGTGAGGGTGTCAGTGTGTGGCCTACAGCGTGAGACGGCGGTGAAGCGACAGTGCCAGACGGCCATCTTTGAAAAGACCTTCGAGTGGCACCAGATCAACGACAAGATTTCGGTCGAGTCGGCCACGGCCGCGGTGGAGGAAGAAAACCGGTTGCTGCCCACCCGCCTGCTTGGTGCTATTCTGGGCTCCACCGGCCCGTTGCCGGCCCCCAGCGACTTGGCACCCGCCGACCCTCATGCTGCGCAGGAGGCCTCCCTGCTCATCGAAGTGCACCACTCCGGATACTTCGGCTACGAACTCATCGGCTCCTTCGAACGCTCTCTCAAGTCCATCAACGGTCTTTCTGGTCACTCCATCTCCAGGATCAAAGTACCCATCAGCCACCCCACACGCCCCAATATCCCCCGAGGATGGATTACCTTCTCCGCAACTTGTGTAGCCGAAGGAGAATCCGTGCTGCCCAATGCCCAAACTGTTCACGGTGCCGAACTCATGCAAAATATGGAGTTCCGCACCATAAGCAGGGAAATCCAGATTTACCGGGGCAGAGCCATACGCTCCTATGACGGTGGCCGAACGCCGTCCACGTTTATTGTAATTAAGCAAAGCAGCACTATTGCCTATTTTCCCGTAAAGAGACAGACTAGCACGCCCGTCTGGAACCAAGCTATTGCAGTAACCGCACAGATTCCCAGTGCAGAGGACTACCTCATTATAGAGCTCTGGGAGCAACAGGGAAACAACATCAAGCGATGTCTTGCTAAAGAAACGTTACCTATTGCTTTTTTTGAAGACTATCTGACATCAAGATGGATACACTTCTACAGGCGAGAAGGCAACCTACAGGCTACCGCAACGGGAACTGGAACTGGAGGACTACTTCGAGTTCTCTCGCAGGTGTCGAAGGAGTTGAGCATTGACGAAGGCGACTCCAGTTCCAGCAGCAGCGACGCCGTCCCGTCGCCAAAAGAGGGTTCCCCAGTCAGTTCTCCTAAGGCTCAGGAAGGGGACATTGAAGAGCAGCGAAATCCCGCGATCCTGGATTATATGGGCAGAGTTTTGATCGGCACAAGACTCGAAGCGCATAACCAGGGATACCTGGACCCGCAAACCTTGGCACCACGGTCCGTACCCAAGGCAGATCCCCCAGAAACAATGTATCAGCTTTGGATGGACTTCTACTCCCTCAATGTTTCTGGCGATGTGTTGGTAAAATCGATTGCAAGATCGAATATCCTTGAAGTGAGTGTAGGAGAATGGTCGTGGCAGACAGTTTTGGAGGGCGTAAACGAGAACCCTCATCCTTTGAATATAAGAATGCCATCAACGGAGCTCCGACTGCCCCCCCTTAAGCAGGCGCCTCACCTAATTATCCGAATCATGCCCCAGGAACAGGGCTATAACCCGCCCGCGCCTGCATCTTCCGGAGCCATCTTAGCCCCCGTTGCGGGACCAGTATGTTGCAATGTGTGGTCGGTGGGGGACCTGATGAAGGTCGAGGCAGTCCCGATCTGGTCAAGGTTTGCGGTGCCCTCCAGTGCTAGTAAGTGTAACCTTCAAATGCTGTACTCCGTCTCTCTCAAGAGCATGGACAACACTGCTGGTAGGTCAGACTCGGCGACCGCGATTCCGCGACCTCCGAGAATCACGTACCAGGTGAGGAAGTTTGTCATCTGCATGAGGCTACTACAAGCCGTAAACGTACCTTCCAGCAAACGCGACTCCTTTCCCACAAGCAGTCTCACGGCGGACTTCGAGGGCATCACTGTCCAGACGGCCTATGTCGCAGAAGACCCGAACCCCGAATTCAACTTCGACTACGTCGCAGAGCTGTACCTACCCACACGCGTAGAGTTGACCGCTCCAATCTGCATCTCGCTGCACACGACCAACGACGTTGTGGGCAGGGTTCTTATTCCGGCCTCGTACCTGCAACACATGGCTCTCGAACTTCCGGAGTGGTTCATTCTGGACACCGCACCCGCCAGCCCGTCTCCGACCGGCTCGGTGGCGCAGCCGGCGCTGCAGCTCGGCACCAGCGCTCCCATGTGTCTGTTCGCCTTCGAACTGTTCGAGGGCATCGACCCCGTGAAACTGGCCAAATCGCTCCCACCCATGAAACAGTGCACCATTCCCGTGCAGCTCACGGTGCTCGGTGTGCGTTTCTTCCCCTTCGCCAAGTTCCGCAACACATTGCCGCTGATCAATGTCACCTGCGGGCGCACGGACGAAGAGTGGATGCTCAACGAAAACCTCGTCGGCTGGGGCAACAAAACAACCGGCAGTCGCTGCGTAGACCTCATGAAGAGTATGGCCTTCAACCTCTACACAAACCCAACCGGCATCTACGTCGACATGCTGCGCTTCGAACTCTGGCAGTCCGACGACGAACTGGAGGGACGCGCCTCCGCCGTAGCCACCCAGAGCTCCAAGGTCACCGGCGTCGGCTGCGTCCCGCTCCAACTCCACATGCCCTGGCTTCCCAACTCCTTCAAACAACTCGTCGCCAACGCCTTTCGTCCCAGCTCCGCAGAACTCGAACAAATCGGCCTCAAACCAGCCACTCTCGAAGACTTTGCTGCTGTCGCGCCCTTCCAACGTCATGCCTTCACCAACACCACTGCAAAACACAAAGTTGTCGGCATCGACTTTCCCACCACCGCAGACGCCGCACCCAATCTCAACGACGACGCACTCAACCGCGTAAGACTCCGCACCGCTCCCCACACACCCGCACATCACACCGGAGCAATCACGGTACCACGCACGGTACCGTACGACTTCTCACCCCAACTTTAGTCCGTGTGCGTGCGACGGAGCCTGGAAGACTGCCTGACGAACGACGAAACCGTGGATCCTGACGACGAAGAGTTGAACAAGGTGTTGGAGATTCTAGAGAGCAACAGCGACCTGGACCCGGAGTTGCGCCCGCAGGAGAAGCCGAACCGTTCGAGCGAGATTTTGGCAGTGGACGAGACGCCGGTACGGCCCAAGCGCGAAGGCGTGTTGCCGTGTGTGCTGGAGCACGAGCTGGACCCCGAGGTGCTGCCGTGGGTGGTCGTGCCGCTGATGGGGCGGTACTCGAATTCGCGCGGGAATTTGCTGGGACTGGCGAAGATCGCCCTCACGCTGGGCAAGCGGCCCGTGGCAGGGCTGCTGGCGGAGAGCGAACTGCCGCGGGAGCTGGTGGAGGACCTGCAGAAGCGGCACATCGAGAAGGTGAACTTCTGGACGTATCAGGCGTTGTATCGCGAACCGTTCGTGCTTCGCGTGCACGTGTACTCCGCGGCCGGGCTCACACGGAAGCACCCGAAACAGGCAATGGTCGACCTGCCGCCGGCGTGGACCCTACTGGTGCGGCTCGCTGACCACCAGCAGACGGAGGCCGAATGTCTGCGCGCCATGGGGCCCACGGCCGTCGACATTGACGGCACAGTCACCGCTGGTCGCCAACACGTCTGGGAACCGGCCAATCAGGTCGTGGGACTGCCGCCCGAGTTCTACGCCAGCTACGAGCTCGCCGGCTTCTTCCCGATAAACGCTATCCTCCAAATCACGGTCATGGAACACTTGACCGAAATCCCGCAAAGTGGTCTCGAAGACCGCGTCACCATCGCCGCCGAGTCGTTCATGCACGCCTGGCTGCACGTTGACCTCGAAGACCGCTGGCACTCGCGCGACTGGCAACGCTACCGCCTCGACGCTCCGGTTGAGACTGGCAGCCTCTTCCGCGCCGCCGTGAAACAAGACTCGGACGCACTCGGCACGTGCTGCGGCAAACTCAACTTCAGCCTCACCATGCTCCGGCCCAGCGAGGCGCGCGACACACCCTTCATTCCACTCGTGCGCCCCAAGGCACCCAACGTCGAGGTTCGCATCGCGCTCTTCGACCTCCTCGGCCTCAAACTGCCCAACAACGAACAACGCAGCCTCTTCGTCCGCGTCACTCTCCACGACGAAAGCTACGACTCCGACGTCCACTACCGCTCCACTGACGGCACTGCGCAGTTCAACTGGCGCTTCGTCTTCAGCCCCACCTCCAACAAGAACAGCAGCATACTCATCTTCCAGGTCTGGAGCTCCAACATACTCGCCCGCAACGAACTCCTCGCAGAACGCGAACTGGACCTCACCGGCGACATCGCCGCCATGGGCAGCGCCGCGCGCAAGGACCTGAACGACCTAAAATTCACGCTCAAGGCGCCCACCACGCAAAACGACTGCGGCGCTCTCACCTGCCAAATCACTCTCATCGAAAGCGAACTAGCCGAAGCCAATCCAGTCGGCCAGGGGCGCAACGAACGCAACTGCGACCCCTACCTGCCGCCCGTCTCCAAGAACCGCAACATGATCGAACTCGACACCGGCATCCTCGACGTCGCCTTCAACGCAGGCCGCGTCATCAAAAAGTCCACCAGATACTTCACTTTCGGCATCGTAGCCATCGTCGTCCTCTTTATACTCAGCACCATCAAGAACCTTTTCAAGTGACCCACTCCACGTCATGCCGGAGTCCACGCCAAGCCGGAGTCTACGCCGTGCGGAGGCCCACGCGAGTTCTGGACTGAAGAAATCAGTTCCGGACGTAGTTCTGACGCTCTGTAGTTCTGATCTCAGTCATCCAATGTACATCACTCTCTGCTTGTCCGACTCGTGCACGATCCATAAGCAGATGCAGCAGCTCAGCAGCTCCCAGACGATGAGCCACAGGCAAACGGTGTATGCCAGCAAGTGGTTCTCCAAGTTGTCCAATATGCTCGTAGACTGCGAGGCCACCGCGGCGAGGCGGCGGGAGTCGGGATTGCTGGGCACGCGGAGGCGCGGCATGCAAACGGCGCCCAGCGCACACACCACGTAAAGCGCGACCACGGTCCGAAGCACCCCGCGTCCCGGACGCAAGGTGTTGCTGTCCTGCCGCATCACGTGTGGGAAAACCCGGCGGTCGCGGCAGCCAGTGAGCCGTGGGCCCGACCGTTGGACGGGGGCGCGGAGTCGACTACGTCTATTTCCAAACTCTCCATGGAGGTCATGTGGTCGGCCGTGTGGCCGGTCCCGTGGTCGGCCATGCCGAGCTCAATCCCCACCGCATCGTTCTCCCTGTAGCCGCCGTGGCCCCGGTTCTCCCCACAGGCGCGATGGGCGCCGTTCTCCTTGTGACCGTCGTTCTCTCCCTGCTCCTTGTCTTCGCCGTGGTGTGTGCTGAAGAATGAGCCGGTGACGTCGCAGCTGCCGGGGCAGCTGGTGGGCAGAGCGCTGTAGTGGCGGTCGCTGCGGGCGCGGTCGCTCTGTGCGTCTTTGGTGAGGCCACTGTGGACACGGTCGCTGTCAGCCGGGTCGCTGTGGACGCGGATGGGGAGGTTGGTTGTGCGCTGCTCGGCAGTGTCGCGGGAGCGGGGGAAGGTGAGGGCGCTGCGGAGCGAGAGGACAGAGTTGCCGAGGACGAGTAGAGAGCTGAGGGCCATGCAGAGCGAGGCTTCGACGGAGGAGACCCAGAGATGCGGATAGAGGACGCCGGCGGCGAGGGGCACGCCGAGGGCGTTGAAGGCGCAAGCCCAGAAGAGGTTGAAGCGCATGATGCGTGCGGAACGGCGGCAAAGACGCAGGACGGCGGGGAGGCTCTCAATTCGGCGGCTGTAGACCACCACGCCCGCGGCTTGCGCGAGCGCCTCGGCCGAAAAGCCGAGTGCGACGCCGAGCGCGGCCTCGCACATTGCCAGCGCGTCGTTCACTCCATCGCCGACCACCGCGACCCGGGCACCCGCCGTCTGCAGGCGACGCACCAACGCCTGCTTCCGCCAAGGCGTCGCTCGCGCCACCACGCGCTCCGCCGGCACCCCCACCGCTCGTGCCGCCGCCAATGCCGGGCCCCAGCCGTCGCCCGAACAAAGCCAGACCGCCAAACCCGCACGCCGCAGCTCAGACACCACCGCCGCTGCACCCGGTGCCAGCGTCTCCGCCAACTCCACCCGTGCCAGCACTGTCCCGTCTGCCGTGAACAGAAACACCGCCTCGCCCGCACCCGCCGCAGCCGGTAATGGCCGCCCCAACAGACTCGCGTACCAGCCCTCGTGTCCAAAGTACACCTTCTCCCCACGCAGTGGGTCCACGGGGACGGGGGGTGGGTCCCCAGTCCGGTCTCCGGTCTGCTCCACGTGGAGAAAGTCCTCGCGACCGCGCAAGTCCAGCAAGTTTGTCCCGCGGTCGCGCAAAACCGCAGCCTGTAGGTCGAGTTCGATGCCGTTGCCGAGGTGTTCAGTGCGTTTGCGTACATTGAGGGGTTCTGGTTGCGCGTTTTGAACAAGTGCGAGAAGGGCGTGCGGGAGGCCGCCGGCGAGACCCTGTTCGCAGGCGGTGACGAGTGTGGCGAAGACAGCGTCGGGGTCCTGCGTGCACAGTCTGAGGCGGTACGCAAGCGCACTGAGAGCGGGACCGTGCAGTGCGGAGCCGGATACGCGCGGCGGACCCTGTGTGAGCGTTCCGGTCTTGTCCAGGACCACCGTGTCCACACGCGCACCGCGTTCGAGCGTGTTGCTGTCCTTCACGATCACGCCACGCTGTCCCGCCGTCGCGACCGCCAGCGCGACCACCACGGGCACGGCCAGCCCGATCGCGCAGGGACAGGCCATGGCCAACGTCGCGGCGCCGAACTGGAGCACGAAGAGCGCACCTGCCAACCCAGGGCCCACGCCATACTGTGGTGGGACCACCACCCAACCGCCGAGTACCAACACCGTCCAAACCAACCACGTGCCGACGCAGACCGCCAGCATCGCCGGCAAAAACACACGCACCAATCGGTTCGCGACCGCGGCCGTTTGTGAAGGCACCGCCGCGCCTCGGTAGACCGCGTGGTTTATCAAACCCAGTCGCGTGCCCCGTCCCACACGCAACACCACCATCACTACTGGCCCCGGTTGCCGCAGGGTGGTGCCCTCGTACACGTGCTGCCCCACCGCCCGCGCACACGCAGCTGTCTCGCCCGTTAACACGCTCTCGTCCACCCGGGCACTCCCGTCCGGCGCGACCAAGAGCACTCCATCCGCCGGCACCTCCTCCTCCGGCTGCACCAACACTAAGTCGCCGATGTGCAGCAACGGCCGCGGCGTCGCCGTGTGCTGCACCAATGCCCCCTCACCCACGCCCCGGCTGTGGTACTGGAGACCCACAATCGGCGGTGGTCGGCAACCCTGCTGCTGGATTTTGCTCCAAAGATCCGCGTCCCACTCCTCAAACCGACAAGTGTTATTAATCATCAACGCTGATCGTGGCACCGGCAACACCGCTGAAATCCGGCTAGCCGGCATATCCCTCACCCGATTCAACTCCCACAAGACCTGGAGCGCGCGTGTCCGGGACTTGGTTTCCAAGTACTAAAAGCAAAAGAAATTTCACCCCTCCGCCACTCACACGACTCTTACCCTTCCAATTGTGTGAATAGTCACCAGCATGGTCGCCGTTTTGAAGTAAGCTGGCGCCGAAGACAATCCAGCAGACGCCACCCCCAACATATAGGTCAGTTCCCCTGAGTTTATGGAGTTCCCGGTCACCACACGAACGCAATCAATCGCCAACAAGAAAGTGGCTATCGCAAAGCACATCCACGAGTTCACAACCACAAACAGCTCCATGTTGATGTAACCCAGACGTGCTTTGGCCACGATAAAACGTGTCCAAACGAAAACCACCGGCACAGATAACGCCATCCACACGAACCCACTAAACCCAGCCAGCACCGCAAACAAGAACTCTTGGTGCCATTGTAATAACATCATCACGCCAGCAATTATCGAGCACTTTATGGATGCGATACGCACAGTCTCGAGCAATAAAGAATGTTCTTCCATTGTTCCTTCAAGCACCGGGACAAAACTCACCGTCAGACCCGGTACGGCCTGCAGCCGTTCCAGGAGATCTCGACCTCCAATCGCAGCCGCGTCAAACTCCACGGTCGCAATGTACGCAGCACCCACGCGCGAAAGATTTCTCGAATCAGCATTCCGGATCACCAACGTTGCCCCCATGTCCTCAGCAACTCCTCGCAAAATGCTTAACTTGCTCTCTGTGACTTCTCCTGGCGGACCCAGTAAAAGATTCACCGAATTTGGACAGCAGCTATCGTCACTGGCATGCTGCTGATTACCTGAGATCTCATCATATATCAAACGGGGGTACTCACCTTGGATATTTGCGTTAAATCCCATGTTCTGAATTCTAGAGCACAGCTCCTCAGCACTTAGCTTAGCTTCATCCACTGCGAATATTCCGATACCCATTGCCGCACTGACATTGCAGCTCTTCACTCCATCTAGCGCCCCGATAACCTTTTCAATCCGAGATGAGCACCCTCCGCAAGTCATGCCTTCAAAACGGTGTCATACAGGCGTCGAATCTCACCTTCGATGCATATCTCTATGTGGGAAGGAGACATTCTCGCTGCTTTACGTCAGCGCACACGCGTGTGCTAGAAGAATATTCGTCTGCACATCGGGCACCGAGTGTTAAATGCGGTCGAGAACCACCTAAAAGCAAGCAGCGTTGATAATGCCGGGGTACCCAAGAGGGATACCGGCCCCCATCTTAAGCTCGCCCATAGAAGTGTAGCTTATTTCAGGCAGAATAACGGCAGGTGATATATCAGTTCAGCGCCGTACAGCCAGAGCGCGCAGCAGCGAGTAGGGGGCGTTGGTGTTCTGAAGCTTACTGTTTGAGACATTCTTTGTGGAATTTATTTTGGCAGAACTCACATTCCTTGGTCGGTGCTTCCTTGGTAGTAGCATGAAGTCTTGAGTAGCAGATTACGCAGTCTTCAGTGCCTTGGAACTTGCTTCGGAATTCGTCCACGAGCCGCGCTACAGCAACAACGATTGTCTGGCTCCCAGTGCCAATGACGGGTCCTAGCAAGAAGTTGGAGGCGGCGTCGCTTTTAAGGAGTCTGATTATTCCGAACTTCATGGTATCAACTGGAACTTTAACGTCGCTGCTGATGCTAATCTTAGGAAGGGAAAGAGGGATCGTTCTGTTGTTAATTGTGATATTAATCTCCAGACACGCTTCCCGGAAGTCTTCGCTGTCCCAGATTTGGAAGTGAGCATTTGCGTGATCGACAAAATTGCAAACCACATTGGTATCGGACACTCTCTGTAGCATTTGAACTTGTTCCGCCAGTCGTTTGGCATAAGCCTCGTTTCCTTTTCGTTCGATGATGGGTGTTAGGTATCTTCTGCAAGACTTGGAGATGGTCGTTTCCCTCCAGAAGACGACTGGAGCAACTCTGCAGAGGACGGTGACGGTTTCCGCATGGTGGTGGACAGTGGCGACGAAGAGAGTGACGATGTCGAGAAGCGTTCTTCCTTCTACAACTGCGACCAGTTCATCCGTCACAAGTTCATCTAGGTAAGTGGAAGATTGCGCGGATCTGGGTGACTGCATGGATCTAGAGCTAGGTGCTTGCTCGGACCCAGGTTCAGAATCAGGTGACTGGGATCTGGGTGACAGGAACCTTGGAGACAGAGCACTGCCCGTTACTTCGTCACCTGGGCAAAAGGAGGAGGGAGGGCAGCACCACACCTGTTGTATGAAGAGGGCAAAGGCGTCAAATTTGCTAACCACGGTGCCCAGGAACGGGCTGCCTGCGCAGAAGGAGTAGGAATCCGCATCCCTCAGCCAGGCCGTGGGCGCGGCCAAGTCCATTTCCAGCGAGGGGAGCACGTGCGCGGCAAGCAGTCGGGCCAGCAAGCCTTGCTGTGCAGCGTCTTCTCGCTCCAGCAGGCAACCCAGCAAACAGTCGGCGACCACGGGGCCATACAGAGCCCGCAACAGAAGGAGGAAGCTCTGCACGTTCGCCCGCTTCTGACTCGCACTGCTCCGCTCACCGCCCTCCACATGCTCCGTCGTACTCTGCTCCACACATCGACGCACAACTTGGTTGTACACCGCGTACAAACCAGCAGCTGTCAAGTCACCCAACGGCAACCGGTTAACAGGAAACTTCGCAAGGAACGCCAACATACACTCTTGTCGGTCGGTAGCCGCCGCCTTTGAACTTGTAAGTCCATGGAGACCCGCAGCGGTATGATCTTCGGGGTCAGCCTCTATTGTACCGTCGGCCTCACTGGCTGATTCTCTCACCGTCGCCCTTTCTGCGTCCTGATCCATTTGGTTCCGGTTCCTTCCCCCCAGAGAGAAGCTCTCAGAGGTCTGCTCCGGCCCACTATCCGGCCCGTTCCCCAGTCCACTCTCGGAAGTTTGTTGGGATATTTGGAAGAGCGCTTCCAAAAGGTCCTGTACGAAGAGCTTGAGGGCGTTTTGTGCGTTCTCTAGGTCGTCATTGGCGGCGGCGGGTACGACATCCGAGGGTGTCTGTGCCTGCACTACTCGGGGTAACACGACGTCTCCGGACCACGCCAGGACCAGTTCCAGGGCGCGGTTCCAGGAGGAAGATGCGGGACTCGAGTAGATGGACTCGCAAACCGCCCGTGCCACGTGGAAGAACACCTTGGCCTCCATTGCGGAACATGTCTCGTCCGCGAGCCCCAGCAGCTCCGGCACAATGTGGAAGGTAAAGAGAACCCCGACCACGTCATGAATGGCACCACCAAGCTGTCGAAGTCGGCTCAAACTGGCCAAGATGACGTCGTAGCTCTCCGCCAGCTTGCCGTTCTCCACTAGAACCATGGCCGCACTTAGCGTCTGAAGATCCACAGCTCGCCCTTTGCTCCGCCCGCTGTCGTCACCTAGTATGTTCGGGTCGAAGGTCTCTAGACTCGCCGGAGTGTCCACCGAAGTGAGTGGAGTGTCCACAGAAGCAGCCAAAACGTCCGCGGCCCACACGATATCGCGCTGCCCCTGGTCGTCTGGAGTAAAACACACGTCCACCAAGTACAGCAAGGCTGCTGAGAACCCCATGTCTCGTGAAGGCAGCATACGAATCTCTTTGTTCAACTCATGGATCTCAATAAACTCTGTCAAAGCGGAGAAAGCGGCTAAAGCAAACTCTCGACGCTCCGGCTCAGACGTAAACTTCGAAGTCGCCATTGACCCAGACGTAGGGCCAGAGGTGGTAGGATCAGAGGTGGTAGGACCAGAGGTGGTAGGACCAGAGATAGTAGGACCAGAGATAGTAGGATCAGAAATAGGATCAGAAGCAGGGCCAGAGGTAGGACCAGACGTAGGACTCTGGGAAGCAGCTACCGGCTCGGAAACAGCCAACGGTTTCCTTGGAGCCGTGTGGGATTGTGAGGCGATCGCGCAGTCGTTTGTGACGTACGATTTGAATGCATCAAAAAGCTCTGCTTTCTGTTGCTGTGTCAGCTCTCGCTCGGCCGCGTCCCCATCTACCGTTTGCAGTTGGTTAGAGAGAACCATGGTGCGTCGGAAGAGCCGCGCTAGGGGGTACACACTCCCGCTGAGGTCTGCGCAGTGTGGCGTCGTCTGGAAGAGAACGAGTAGTTGCCGTACGCATGTACATTTGCTGTATATTGCGTCCCAGACTGACTGCGAGGGTACGGCTAGTGCAGCAAGTTCGCTAAGGCAGGAGCAGGGAGCGGTGTTGAGAACGCATTCTTCGACGAAAGCAGTCTTTGCATCAATGGATAGCTTATGTAAGAGAGTCTTTGTGATCCAGTCATTTAAGAACTGGCTGTCTGGGAAACAGCCGCCGCCGAGGGCTAGATAAGCGATGATTAACGGACTCAGTCGTTCAATACGGTCGTCAATACAAGCCGTATCGTCCACTGCCTTTTCCAGCCCCTTAAGCAACGACTGCATCTCCTCCTTGGTTTCCGGAATGGACGCCAAATCTTGAACGAAAGGGCCTACTCGGGGGTTGTTGAGCTCGCGACGCTTCGCCACTCCACCAACGCCGAGTCCAACCCCTTGGTCACCGACCAAGGACGTGCTGACTAAAGGCGTGCTGACGAAGGGAGTGTTGTGCAAAAGATTCATGAGCTGGACAGCCACCTTCTCTGCTGTCTCGCTCTTAAGTTGCCGCGTGGCCATGAGATCCAGCAGCTCAAGAGGTGCTTGGGGAGCTGACTGCAGCTTCAACTTAACGATCCAGTCCAGCTGTGTCCAGGGGTCCGGCAGCCGCTCCAGCCGGTCGTGCATCTTCGTTTGCAAACTCGGACTGCCTTGGAGGCTCATGAGGTGCTGGACAATTTTGAACACGTCATCATTAAGCTCGTTCGCCGCATCCTCGAGGTACTTTTCCAAATACCGCTCCATCGAGCGCTCAACGGATTCCGCTACCTCGCCGTTTGTTGCTCGGCTCTCTGCAATCGAACTTAGAACAGCGAGCACACCTTGCAAAGTTACTGAGGACCCGGGACTTTGCCTCAAAATGTCCTCGGATGTCTTGCGCAGAACCAAAGAATAATCAAAGCACAAAGGCTTGACAAATCTCTCAACATAAACAGACGCGCTATAAACGGCGTCCTTAATGACAGGTAAGTAGGAATATGAATGCAAGTCGGCAGTCCCGGAACCGTGGGCCTCCTTATTGTAGGTCTCCTTATTGTTGGAGTTAAAGGAATCAGTTCCGGAGACTAAATTTTGAATTCTGGCAATCCACTCCGGCCAGGAAGAGGCAAGGATTTGGATGCCTTGCCATAGATCCTTATAGTATTGTTCATGCCGAATTGACTCATTGATGTGTCTGTCAGAGGGTAAAATGATTCTCGGAACTGACGCAGAGTGATCGGTCGAAGATAACAAGTTGGTGAGCAAGAGGTCGTGGTGGCATTGTTTGAATAAGGCAATGAGGTAGACAATGATGAATGCAGTCCTGCAGGATACGTTGGTACCTTTGGGCAGCGGATTGAGGTGGATATTTGTTTTCATCATTAGTGAGGAGTCGATATGAAGGGCTTTGAGAGTCTTAGCAACTTGTACGAACAAAGTTGTTTTTTGAGAGTCAATGGCATGGCGCACCAGGGACAGACACTTGTCGATCACGACGGGACCAAAGGTAGTACTTATCTCAGTGGAGGGACTGCCCGGACCAGCGGAGGGATTTGTGGCAAAATTCCACAACATGGCAATAAAGCTCAGTCTCTCGCACGTTATGATTTCTGATTCCTCGGTATACAAACGTTTCATTAGCAGTAGTAATTTTTCAGGATAAGTCGCTTCAGGACTGCCATCGGTACTACCGGCGCCATCGGTAGAACGGCGTGAGGATAACATTTGACAGAGGGCGGATGCTAACATGATAGACGCTAATTTCAGCTCACTTGGATGACTGGACTTCCCATACTCGTAAGCGAATTCCAGCGATGAATCTAGCAGGTCTTGACGGCAGAGCTCGCTCTCCCCAGCACCATGATGAGTGCCACTCACCATAGTCTCATAAACAGCGGCAATCGCCTTGAAACCAGCAGAAGCAAGTTGACAAATGGAATCATCATGCTTGCTGCTCTCATATGATTGCAACTTTACCTTCTGATGGGTCACCAGGTGATCCAAGACCGCCGGCAACAATGATTGCTTACTGCTGACACCCTTCGTAATCTTGGAAGCCAACTGATTCAATGGTTTATGGGGCACTTCCCGAAATATCATTAACGTACTCATTACCAGTACGCCATGTTCCTTCTTCGTAACCAAAGGACAAAACTTGTTCAAAACTACAAAGGCATCCAACAAATTCAACAACACACGAAAATCCGTCTCTGGAACTTCCCCAGATCTCTTAAACACATGGATGAAATCCCCCCGAATGCCGTCTATGATTCTACTCACAGATTCCCTGGATCTCTCAGGCGCTTCTAAATCTTTACAATGAGATAAGAGCTCCGTTGCCCACCGCAATCGTGTTTTCGCGCTCTTTTTCTGCAAACCGTCCAAACAACTCAAAATATCGTCTATTACCACCTGTTCCGAAACCTCGTATATCTCTCCCGCGGTTGGTGGATCCCCCGACGTTCCGGCGAACGCCGCAAATATGTTAGACACCGCTGAACGCCCTTCTTTCTTCATTGCACACGTGTGTGCGCCGCCAAATTTTTATTTGCCAGCGGCGGACATACAGGCAACGGGCGAGTATACTGCCATTCCACGAGGCTAGGAGGCTACCAGAAATGTTTGGGTCGTAAAGGAGGTACAAAAACCCCAGAGTTTTCAATGCCTGGTATTCCCGGTCAAGCTGTCCCAACTTTATTTGACCGATTACCGGCGCACGCTGAGCGACGGGCGTTCGCTTGGGGATAACCTTCTTGTGCGATACTCTGGCGATGTTCCGATGTGCGCCAAAGACCCCCATTCTGCGCATGTGAGCTCGCCAACGGGTGAAAGTCCGCGTAGGTGTGGAGCGAGCCGTTTCAACAGTCGGTCGTCTGCTCGATGCTGCTCCTCGGCCTGCGCCGTACGCTGACTACTTGGCCAGTTCTGGTATATACTTTTCGATCTCCGAAATGTACGCCCGTACTCTTTCGTCGACCTCATTCTCGCGTTTTTGCTGCAAGTACGTTCGTCATAAGCGTGTCCCCACAGGTTCTGAACCAACAGTGCTCAATCGTGTTGCGACATATGTTGAATAGAGGCGGAAAAGGGCGGCGCTTACCACTTCGACAGTGACTACATTTGCTAGGTCCCAGAAGTACCCGCTCGTTCGGAAAATAATCCGTACCAACCTAAGGCTTTTGCTCATGATATTCCACGCTTCAGCATCAGCTAGACCCTGGCCAGCACACCTGATTCTCAGCTCCCAAAAGTCAGATCCTGCCCACGCTGACAGTCCTGTAAGGATCGGACACACTGCCAGCAAAACGTAGATGTCACGAAGTAAGTGATGCGGTACGGGATGCGTTACGCGACGCAGTAGCGTAAACGTGTGTGCACACGTGTGTGCGCCCATGTTTGTGTGCACACGAGTGTTTGTTTACTTTGAGTGGCGAGTATATGGCGAATGAGGGCATATTTGCTAGCTAGTTCCGGGTCGTCGGCGAGTTCCCCCTGTCGTCTTTCGAGCATGAGCAGGGCAGCATACGACTGGCCGACGTTGGGGAGTACGTGGTCGAGCATGATTGCGATGTCGAAGTCTTCGTTAAGTTGGCTCTGTTCGCCGTCTTCTTTGGCGAACTGGGACATGCAGTAGGCTTCGAGTTGTTTGGCACGTTGGAGCTCGTCGGGGTCGGGTGCGGCGCCGCATTCAATACATCTTTCCGGTTTGTACTTGGAGGCAATGATGTTTCCCAGTTGACCTGTGATGCGAGGCGAAGTATATGTTTCGCGGTCGCTGGTGGTTTCAAAGGACAGTTGATATAGCGCATCTGACTTGATCTTTTTCAAGTAGTCGTCGACAATAACTCGTTCCCGTTCTAAAGATACCGGCTTAATGTTGGCCGGTGGTTGGAACATGTCGCTAGACGGATGGAAGGGGGTGGTGTTACTCAGGAACCACTGCCCACTTCGACCGGCCACAGCTTCACGACCCCCCACGGGCGAGGTTCTCGGCGAGGCCTCGTCAATAACCTCGTCCGCGGCCACTGGATCGGCTGCGACTGGATCGGCTGCGACTGGATCGGCTGCGACTGACTGGTGGGATATTCTCGGGCATTTAGTGCACATAAATCCTCGACTCAGGTCACATGGGGTCATACATCGTTCGCATTGACATTCAAAGTACTTGGTCGCCTGCAGATCCTGCCTTCGCAGTAACGTAGGCTCCAACAAATGGCTGTCCGATGTATAGGTAAATGTAATTTCCTCGTCGGTGCCGATGTTCCGCCGAGCCACAAGCACATACCGTTGCTGTTCGTCAATGTGCCAGAGAGCGTTGGGGATACAGGAGTGAGACGAGAAGGCCGGTGCAAAGAACGTCAGATACGTCAATGGCTCAGTTGCCCCTTCAAAGCAATTGAGGATCCACACCTGGGCATATTTACTCCACAACCTCTCCGACAGCAGACAACGCAACAGAAACAGACCACCGTCATTCCGGGGACAGTTTTCCTTGACCTTACGGAACCAACCGTTATCATCTACACCTTTATCCGACACGCCTTTACACTTATACGGATCCGGTAACGCCAAGTCCAAACCGATTAATTCTTTGAACCGCCTGTTGCAGGAGACGACATCATTGATGGTGTCCGCAGCATCACTATCGTCCGACGGGGTATACAAGAGTAGCAATCTCTCTCTTTGCTTTTCGGAAAACCGCGGTATTGGTAACTTGAGGAAAGCCTCCACCACTTTCTTGTTCTTCTCTACAACTCCAGCATCTACTCCGGCGGTACTTCGGACTCCCTCGTCACAACAGCGACGCAGCATCTGGTACTCCTCGTCAGTCATCATTGTACATAAGACACACCATGTCCAGAGCGTGTGCAGGTCCCACGTGTCCTTCACGCTCCAGTCTTGCAACGTGTCATACAGTTTGTTTTTGGCCGGCTCAGCCACGGACGCAAGTGTTTCTTCCGTAAGCAATACGTCACCTGCCTTACACGGTCTGGCTCTGAACAGGCAAATGAATCATTCTGGTTAGCTTACGTCTTTGTAATTCTTCCCTTGTAGTCGTCATACGTGCACACCAGTCGGCCCTCGCTGTGTTTGTTCAAATGCTGATTGATGACTTCCATCCCAACTTGGGCGAATTATAATTCACCGGCACATCTCCCCTTTCACAACCCAACATGCTGACAACGCCACGAGAAGACAATTTTGGCAGTGATAGTCAGCCTTTGTGGATAGAGCAGATTCGGACATTCGTGGAGACTGGCCGCTATGAGAGAGTTGCGGTGCAGGTAAATTACGAGGACCTGCCCCTGATATTGACCACGCTAGCCACGGGTGTGCAACGGGCTATGCAGGCCGCCGTCGCTGGAAGCACCGTCGCTGGAAGCACCGTCGCTGGAAGCACCGTCGCTGGAAGCGCCGTCGCTGGACGCGCCGACCCTGTGGTTTTCTTTCTTTCCGACCAAGTGGATGGTTGTTACTGCGATAACTATAAACATGCAAAACATTACGAAGCACAATCACTCATCCACTTTGGTCGCTACTGCGACTGTGGTGAGGTGGACAGGATACCCACACTCCATGTCCCGTTCGTATCGTATATGCCAGTGGGAACGTCTGCTGACGACTGCCAGCCCCGAGTCACTGCAGAATGCAAGAGGGTAATTAGTAAAGATGATGCGATTCTTCTTCTTCACATCCCGAATGTACCGGAGCCTGTTTCTTACACGGCGCGGGAAGGTCTTTGTTATTTTGACATAAACGAGGTCCAACCCCGGGTCCAAACCCGGGTCCAAAGCCGGGTCCAAACCCGGGTCCAAAGCCGGGTCCAAACCCGAGTTTCGTACAACTCAACAATTACAGAAGACGAACCTTGGGAGGTGGAACCGCTCCAACCATTGGCACCGGAGGATCTGAGTGAGATTTTGGAGCGTCTGAGCAAGCGGTATTTGGTCGACAAGTTCCGTTACAAGAGATACTCCATGTCAAGCCTCCCTATGTCAAGCCTCCCTATGTCAGACCTCCCTATGTCAGACCTATTCAGTGTGTCGAATCGGTATACATACGGCATAGCCGCGATGGGTGACCGTGTAGGTTTGGTCTATGGCGAGACTCTATCAGGACCTGTGAAGCGTCAAATTGATCTACTTCACGATCTATTAAGAGCAGAGGATAAAACCGTCACAAATATTTCTTGTCACCCACTCACGAATGAAAAACTAGAGAACTTTCAAGATATAGATTTCTTCATACATCTAGCATGCCCTAGTGTCCTGGTCAAACGATGCTTTCAACAACGCAAGACATTTAGACGAAGAGTTATTACGGCGTTCGAATACATCTTAGGATTGGATATTGAGACAGAAAACTGTTCGGATGACGCTTCTACCCGCATCGATTTTAACGGTCGATATGTGCTTGACGCCCATGATTTCATGTATCAGTTTGAACCTACACTTCGACAACATATCAAGCAAAAGCTAGTAACTAATCAACAAGCACGAGAGGGACTTGAACTTGCAGGAGAGGTAAAGGAGAACCGGATACAGCTGCATGAGGCTGCCCTATCGGTCATGGGTTCTAATGCTCCCCTAATTTCATATAGAGATCGAAGCTACCAAGGTGTTCCCGAAAGCGACGATGATGAAGGAAATGATATACATCAAATCGTCAAGGGCAGATCAGGCCACGCTTCTCTATACAAACACGAAAGATGTTATTGACGAGAGGCATCCTCGAAAGTACGCTACTCGAGTAGCGTACTCGAGTAGCAACATCACTTTTTATGTCCAGTGGATAATCGTGCCGGACCGAAATATTTAATACGGCGGTAAAGCCCAGCGGCGGTAAAGCCCAGCTCCATTCCACCTCACGACCGGTACAAAAAGGTTCGAAAAAGCGTTTGGGTATGGGTCTAATCCTCTTTATTCGGTCCAATTCCGGCTGCGAATTCTTCGGGCCCCAGATTTTCGAATTCTTCGGCAAAGTCGAAGCCTTCCAGATCTTCATAGTCACGGACATGTTCGGGTTTGAATGTGTTGAAGACCCGGTCCATGATTTTGGCGGCATCGCAGGCGACTTGAAGTTTTGGCCATCTTTCGACCTTGATGGCGTTCTTGGCCTCCCATCGTTGGACGACGGATTCAAGTTGTGATGGAGCGAAGGACCGGGCATAGAGAGCCGCCTCTGCCTCTTGTTGGTTGTCAAGGAGTAGTCTGATGCAATTATTGTGGTCCCGCAAGAGATAGTAACCTAGATAAGCTAGATTGGCGAGGCTTCTAGTCTTCTCATTATTTTGTTCAGCGTTTCTGGCAGACTCATGGGCGACCTCCTGGAGCAGATCTTGGTCGCTGAGGGAAAGTGCTATCATGAAGAGTGAAGGCAGGTTTTGTGCGGCACGATAGGCTTGTATAGCGATGTCAATTTCCCCACATTGTAAAGCGACCTGCCCAACGGCGTTCCAGCGCCTTTCCGGTTTGTCGCTCAGAACGGGATCTTCCTGTAGCATTTGGACCACAATAGGCAGTTTCTTCAGTTTCAATGCCATGTCATATTTAGTGGTAGGATCAGTAGCATATTTAAGAGCTAATTCATCATAGCCTTGTCTGGAGAGCAACTTAAGGGCTAGTGGACGGCACTTCTCATTTGTGTCTTGCAGTAATTGCTCCAGCGTCTCTTCCAATTGCTGCTCGGTCTCAGCACCACCGGCTTCCGATGTGAGACTAATTTCCCAAGTGGAACACTTAGAAACATCGATAAGCTTCAGAAAGTTGCTGTCCACAAAGTGAGATGTTATTTTCCCGTCCCGGTCCGCTGTTAGGAGGCGCTGATGCGTCTCGAGATATCCCAGCAGGTACTGGTCGCCTTGCACATTACTGTACTCAGTTCTCAAGCCATGCGATAGGAGACAGAGTTTCCCAAGACGAGTGGTGTAAAATACGGCATCTGAACCGACCATGAGTGCCGAAATTATGTTTGCCTGGTTCCACTCGGCCAAGAGCGTGAAGACATACGGCAGACCCTCGTCAGTTTCCGGTTCATTCCGCTCGATAATATCCTGCATGAGGTCGGCGTGATAGTCGAAGAGCAAAATGCCCGTCTCCGTAGCAACCGTGCAGCGATTTTTGTGCCAACACACCTCCACCGCTGCTACCGGCAACTCCACAATCAGTCGACTACCCTGGGGGTGATAGAAGCTGATGCTATGTCTGTAGCCGTAACGACTCGCCGGAACGGTCTCGGTGGCGGTCGTTCCGTTATTTGTGGCATCCTCGGCGTGGCCGCCGTGAGCCACGGCGAGAAGAGGACCGTTGCCGAAGAGGCCCGTGATGGATGCATGGCCGGGAGTGAAGCTGGCGATGGATCCGGAGTCGTCCTTAATTTCGACGCTGCTGCTGAACTCTCCAGTTTGGGCGACAGCATAGGAGCCATCTGCAAGCCACGCAAAGTAGTCGGCTTGGCCGTAGCTTTTGACTCGTAGGGCCTGAGAGGTTAAAATTGAGAATTGTTCTTCGCCTTGAACACCAAGGTAGCGACCATTGGGGGAGAACTCTATGCGATGGGGGAACAAGTCACTACTGCCGATTTCCTTCGGTTGCACACTAACCTTTTTGCCGTCCAATAGCATAGCAGCATCTACTTGCTTAAAGTTGATAGAATGGAAATCCGCGGAGCCCTTGACCAAAACCACACGACCACCCGAAGAATGCATCGTAACCAGCGGTCGATCGGATCCAAGAGAGACGAGGCATATACCTTCATCAGCAGCGATCGCGATCTCATTTGAGTCATGTTTCAGACCCACATACCAAACACGTCCCATGCCGATTTGCTCTTCCTGTGTGCAACGATAGGTAGAGGCGTTCCATATGCGTACCGCACCATCTTCAGATGCCGACAGAACCACTGCCAGATATGGATGAAAAACGGCATGTGAGACGTTCGCTTGGTGTCCTGATAGTGTCTGTAGACATTGGCGTGATTGACAATCCCATACACGGATGGTATGATCATCAGATGCGGAAATGATAAATGGCTTATCCAAAGCTTCACAAAACTCGACGGAATTAACACCCTTAGTATGCCCCAATAATGTGTAGTTGGGGTTAGTCACATTAATGATATCCGTAGTTCGATGGTTCGATTCTAGTGTTGCCGAAATATTAGATGGCAATGACCATAGCTTTATAGTCCCATCCAAACTGCACGATGCAAAACTATTAGCGTCACGAGGATTCCACGCTACTTTCATCACATAATCTTGATGACCAAGAAATGTCGCCATCTTATTCAATGTATTCAAATTCCAACAGTGGATGTCCATGTCGTCTGCACAACTTAGCAACAGCGGCAATGTCGGATGCAATGCCAGACAACGAACGTAGTCAGAATGTGCCTCCAATACGTGCAACTTCTCCTGAGTCACTGCATTATAGATACATATCAAACCTTCATCCGTCCCACATGCAATCCAGTTCATTGAAGGAACAAATTTAGCACAACGAATCGGAGCACTCCCTACCTCTATCTTCTGAATCACTTGCTGCGTTGTGTACTCATATACGGTAAGGCTTCCACTAAATGATTATATATATTCATACACGAATGACACACACAAAGACCCGGCCGGCCGGAAAGGCAAGCAGCCGGGACACACACGACATTGCCGGAAGGAAGTTTGAACCTGACGAACATTATCACCTCTCTTTACCCCACGTTTTTATTCGTGGGGTCCGGAGGGAAGAAGGCCGGGAAAAGGCTTGAACGGTGGTTCGATCGAACGGTGGTTCGATCGAACGGTGGTTCGGTCGGTTATGCAAAGGGGGGAAGGGGCGAGATTGTGTCCCATGTGCGTGTGCAAACACGGAAGCAAACGTGTGTGCAAACGTGTGTGCAAAACACGGAAGCAAACGTGTGTGCAAACACGGAAGCAAACCTGTGTGCAAACACGGAAATACACAGATCGGTCAAGCAAACAGTAGTGAACAAATATTAGTGAGTGAGCTTACGCGTAGAGACCTGCTAGAGCCCAGGGTTGAGTGGGATGGATATCAACATATTTGACCCTGCTTGTTCTGGCTTGAAATCTCTTGCGCCAATCCAACATTTAAAAAAACCAACGTTACAGGGTGGGTGTTGGCGAAGGCGAAAAAATGTGTAAAACCTTTCTTTAAGAGGAAGAAATCTCGGGGGTAAAGAAAAGGAAATAATGTCTTCGATCACTTTCAAGGAGCCCAACAGATACTTCATTGTAAGTCAAACAGTTTCCCACACACTGACCACGCAATGGGTGATCATTGCGTTCAAGCCCCACATGAATGACCAGAGAAAGTGTGTGTGTGCGGCAGGAGAACGTCAAGGATGAGGAGGTTGTGTTAGGTGGCGAGAATGGAGAGCATCAGTTAGCTATGCGACATGCAGTGATGATTTCGAAATGTCACAACGCCGTCATACATCTGAAGGGTAAATGCAACAAGGTCGAGTTGGACCACTGCACTAAGGTGACAGTGATTGTACCCGCGGTTGTATCTTCGGTGGATATGCAGAAGAGTGCCTCTTGCGAAATACACGTCGAACAACGCTGTCCTGGCATCTCCATCGATGATTGTAACAGTATGAGCATTTACGTCCCCAGGGACTCCATGGAGTTCATCGAAGTAGCAAGCAGCGGGGGTGGAAGCGCCAACCTCTTCGTCCCCACTGAAGAAGATCCTACGGAATTCAAGGAATATCCCATCCCTTTCCAATTTGTCCACAAATTCAAGGTAGGCACCGAATACCCTCGTCCGGCGACCCTGTCAGGGGACGAACCTGTCAGGGGACGAACCTCTCAGGGATCACACAGCACGCTTCATGAATTCTGCTTTTGTCTTAGGGATCGAAATTGGTATCAGAGGTCTCCCCTCTATATACTCACTAGCTAAAGTAACAATGAGCGCAGTTCCTTTAACTGCGTCCTGAAGCTCCCATCAACATTTGCAGACTCATATATGGCCAAGTCCTTTTTTATTGGGTCCAAAAAATCTATGGGGGTATATCTCAGCAAACCCAGGACTGAAAAGGTAGGTACGGCACGT